GCAGAGAACCACTGTCCAATGACTCAGTAAAGCTGAAACCACACTTAATAAAGCTACTTCATTTTAGTGTTTCAAAGATTTTGAATGTCACTCCTGTCGATACAAATGGCTGCTTGGACACTTTCAGCTGCCATGATATGAGTTCAGCTTGTGTCCCATTATTTGGACAGAGACCTGCTGTTTCTTCACTCTCTCTGGCTTTTTCAGAAATTAAAGGTTATGGGGGGAAGTTGTACTTTGGGTCATTCTGACAGTCAGACAGAGAACAGCTGTTCCAAAGTCAATTGTGAAGCACCTCCTCAACTCCATATTCAACAAGAAGCATTATTCAAAATTCAGAAACCCCTATAGTTACAAACTAAACAGTTACAAAGTAAACAAGTTCCTCAAATTGAACAAACCCCAAAATGAAACGAGGAGTTTTATAAGTTATAGCGAAACTCCGGAAAGCTCTTAAATAAAATTAATTTACCAGAAGCAGGAAATATTTTTTGTCAGCTTTCTGTTCCCCTTTCATCATAAAGCTGCATCAGTAGTATTTCAAGGTCACAAAGTCAAATTTAATCTGAAATTTGTTCATTCACAATTACAGCATCAAAGATGTTTCATGATGAACAAACTGCATACAGGTAGATTAATGATGTTGATGTTTGTACACATGTACACTGTATCATCGCATCACTATCCTCATTAGCATGTTTTGTGTGTAACTGAACAAATATAAGGAAGTGAAAAAAAGGGAACAAGTGACTAAAAAGTTGTCTTATAATCTGACAGACACAGATGGAGTGAAGTGTCAGAAGCTGTTCTTCTGAAGTTTAACAACTTTTCTGCATCAGGATCAAAACCAAAATGAAAATCCTCCATGTTCTCTTCTTTGTTTTCTTGTCAGGTGAGGACTGATTACCTCATTGTCTCTTTCATGCTGCTCTTTATTTATTTTTATTTTTTAAGGGAACTTTATAAAATGCACATATTCACATTTGATATTCATCTTACTATTATTATTCTTATCTGACAGATCCAGCTGTGTTCGTCAAGGCAAAGCTCGATATCTGGTCTGCAGCTGAAGGAGGAAATGCTACACTTAACTGCCACTTAACTTTGTCTGGAAGCACAAAGTTCTTCTGTAAGGAAAAATGTCAGCGAACAGAAGATATCCTCATTAAAACAGATGGAAGCACAGCTCAGAGTGGGAGATACAGCATGAATTATAAAGATGGATCTTCAGGAAAAGGAATTGTGTCTGTGACCTTCACACACATGATCAAGTCTGACTCAGGAATGTACAGGTGTGGTTTGGGAAAATCTTCTGCTCCGGATTCATACTCTGACTTTGTGGTCAGAGTTTCAAATGGTGAGTTTATACTAAAGTATGTGTGTGTTTCTGTCCATGTGTTTTACCCTAAGTACTTGCACCTACAAGCATCACATTATCAGATGTGTCTTGGTTTTAACAGCAAAACCCTCCCGAGTTAACATCTCTGATCAAGAATAATAGAAGCAAGAAGTTTGTTCTGTTTGCCAAAATTGAACAGTGGCTAAACATTTGATATTATGGGACAATTTAAATAAAGCAGATGAAATGTCAGCCCTCTGTACTTCCAAATCTTCATTATGTGAATGTAACATTTTGAATGGCTTCTTTAAATATGCTAATGTTATTGTACAGTAGTCACTGATCCTGCCCAGGGTCAGGTGAGTGTTTTCTGAGATTTTCACTGATTTTATATAAAAATCAGAATATCATCAATCATGCTTACATGTGTTACGGATTCAAATATTGGGGATGGATACAAGAGGAAAACCAAAA